TTTTTTTTCAGAAGCAGATAGAATCACAGGTAATCTGTGCGAGAAAATAAACTGTTAAGAAATGGACAAGTGCACAATTAGGACACAACAAACCCGAGCAAAGGAGCTGGAAAGCGGAACAAATCAAAGATAATTGGCTAGGCTAAAGTCAGACGTAGAAATGTGAAATTTTTGAGAGATATCTCCAGCGATATCTCAACTGATTCGGACATAATCGCTTGGCCACTTCGCATATAAGAATCATAAAGCAAAAACAATATTAGGAGGCGGAAATCTGTCGTCGGGCAATTCGGACTAAGGAAAGATGATAAGCTATAGATATAAACAATAAGTGACTGGAAAACAATTACGTTTCCAAAAGAAACGTCTCGGTCTCATGCACATTTACTTCTCGTCCGCTGCATACCACTTGCATTGAAGGTAACTGGACGGAACAAAACCCTCGGTAGAATTATCAATCCTAAAAATTTGCTATGAGCTGTGATTAGAAAATAAACCGCTTTTAAATCGAAGGATAGAAACTATTTAGTATTTACCGTCGAACTCTTGTCCATCCATCTCCTTCATCTCGTTCAATGAGCAAAAGTTCTTCACCTTCTTGTATTCCGATGGTGCCTTCTGTACCACCCTCAAAGGGGAACTGTGCAACAGCTGTACCTAATGCAGGCATGGCACACTCTTCGTATACCTGTAATTTGCACTCGTAGAGCAAGCCGAAAACGTTCCGTCTGCATTGATAACACCACGCTGAATCTTTAAGAACACCTAATGATCATTGGGTGTCATGCTTCTTGAAACTTCAAAACGTAGCCTATTGAAAAAAGACAGCAGAGCGGTTACTTCCAGTACATGTTATGTTCACCCTAACCAGCCAAACGTACCTCGTCACGCCGCAACTGAGCACCGTTATTTCGATTTGGAGTGTTGACACCGTCACTACTTGCTATACTTTCTTCGCTGTAACTACCACGTTGAGATGTTTGGGGGTGAGGAGGACGCGCTGGCGGCGCGCTTCCAGTGGAACTTCCCGACCGCAGCGATGGAGGAGTGTCATTACCACCTTAACAACATTTTAATATTAGTGATATGAACACTGTTAACTCTACGTTGCAGACATCAAGGCAGAAAAAGGCCATCAAACAATCTTAAGAGTGCTGTAAGTGCTTACTCTGCATTTGCGCGTCTTCTAGTAACAGACGAAGTTTAGATATTTGTTGATCCAGAGATTCGATTTCTTTCTCATATTGGCTAAGCTGAGATTCACAGTCAGCTGCGTTACCCATCTTTGGATTGTCTGTGTACACCTAAATATGGAGGAAAATAAGCTGTGCATACTAAAATGCCAACGTATGTCTTGCATCATAAGTAATGGTGGATGCCTATCACTACATTTTCTCAACTCAGTAGCAAAAGCATAGCAACTCGAATTCCCTAATTTCCTATTAGATCGTCGTCGAATATAGAATGTAGCAAAAATATTACTGGCATTTTCAGGGGTCTGTAATAAATTATTCTCATGATGATTCTTCGAGTACTACATTAATTGTGTGACGGCTCTAGTCCCGTGTTCACAATACAGCTCAATGAGACTATGACGTTCAGCGGATGCGCGCGACGACATAAAAGAATTACGATGTATGAACTCAATTTATGCCTCCTTAGCACCATGATCAAAGCTAAGGTCAAATCTCCAATTTTGCTATGGACCCTGCCTGCAAACAAACTGTCACTTATTCGAAGCTAAAATTTCTGGGAAACTCTGTAGTGACAAAGTTCTCATGATCTAGAGATGTTCTGCGAAGACAACACCCTCAGACTATGAAATTAGTGAAATCAAAAGCAAATCTGGCCAAACGACGTTCACTATCACCTGCTTCATCTTCGCCGCTCCTTCTCGACTCTGTTGCCTTTTCTCTCTTTCCTTTTCTAATTCCGCAAGTCTTGCATGTAACTTTCGTATTCGCTGCTGTGGAGGAAGTTGACCGTAATCACCATTTGCATCGGCCTAGAAGATAATGCAAAGTAGAACCACATATCTACAACGGAGTCACTTGAGCTTGATATTATATTGCACGTCATGCGCCACCTCCGATAACGATTCCTTAAAGTTGCTCAACAGAAAAGGTTTTTGCCCTCTCCTCTTTTTGTGCATATCTAAACGCAATCCGTAGAAATTCCTTTCAGTTGAACTGATCAATAATTAGGATGGTGTTCCTATCCCCAAAAGCGTCACGGGTTACATAACAAACGCGAAAACTTCAGAATAAGTCGAAACGGGTGGTCGGGGACATCTGTGGCAACTACGCCCCTTGCACATGTTGCTGCAATTCGTACCCAGCTATACGCAAGGGTGGGAGCCTATGGGCGTAACACAGAATCACCCTAAGTTGAATCAGCAACAAAACAAAATTGTATAACAAAAACAGAATGGACACAAGAAACGAACAGCGACATATCGTCTCTATCTAACTAGGCTTTACTAGAAATAAAGAAACTTGGTAATAAAAAGAAGCATTGGCAGAACTTTTACAGCCTTATTAAGCGTATGATGGTGATTATGAATAAGGAAAGCAGCTTAAAGTCGCATCATGTCAAAAGGTGACGGAATGGGAAGGAAAGGCAGCTGAAGCGTTTGAACAGACGTTTTCAAACTGCTCAACCAACGCTCTTTCTTCCATAGAGCGCAATTCTGCATCTGCTCAAAAGCTCCGACGCAACTTGTAAAGGGTGCTCGGGAACTAGCAGACAACCCGTAGCTGATATCAAATGCTAGCTCATGCAAAAACTCGCTTCTCTGTCATGGTTGAAAATCTACTGAGGCAACATAAACTTAGGTAAAAAACTTGCAATTACCTTGTGCTTGTCTCCTCCACCGAAGAACTTTTGGTGCATCGACTGCTTCCTAGAAACTCCTTTGCCATCTTTCTTTCCACCACTTAGCAACCCTCGCTTCAGTGTTGAGTCGACATGCGAAACTTCTAAACATAAGCATATATGAGTGTTATAGATAATAATTGAGCATGAGTGCAATCCTACGCAAATGCGATTGGATATAGAAATAACAGTGCGCGGAGTCGTCCACCCACGGATTGCCGCTGTTACGGTGCATGCAGCACCCAGGTAAAACGTTTTACCAGAAGCTGTCACTGACAAGTCGTGATCTTGTAACGTTTCAGCTGGACGATGCGTGCTCCGCAGTTGACTAGTCCGCGCGGTGAGACTCTGCTACTTCAGTTACTTGATGAAGCAATGCATAAAAAGGGTGTTTCTTGCACTCGAGCGTGCAAAAGGTCTACTGCCGGACGAAGGCGCACAACTGACCAGGCGCGAACGCGATCCACAGCCCGAGCGCGTAAGGCACACACCATTGATCCGCTTGATCCACTTCACTCCAAGCCAGTGAACTGACCGATAACGAAGTGGTTATTAGCTTGATCCCTTCCTCTACTATGCTATTGGTCAGTTCACCGTTTTGACCCAAAGTGAAGTGGATCACGTGGAACAAACGGGTTAAGTGAATAATTTATGGCATGTTAAGTGAAGGGTCACAACACTACAGTTGCCCGCATAGGTGCGATAGTCTGAGATGGGTACCCTCTGAAGT